TTTCCGCTATCCACCCTGATTAGTCAAGATGGGGCTGTCATTACATCCCGCCATGATATGGAATTGATAACGGAAAAATTCTATACCAATCTCTTCCACTCCACAATACCCGTTTCGGACCCCGAAATCACCGCTGGTGAGAAACTGCAAGGTAAATAGCTCAGGGTTCTGCCCTCTGAAGTGCGAGTTGCCAATAGAAATAATGAAACGAGAGAGACACAGCTGCAGGACCCGGTAATATCGCCGCAGATTTCGTTGCAGTTGGTGACCACCAATTACATGTACTTCTCGCAACCCAAGTGAGGTCTTACCTTCAGGAAGAGAAAATCCAGACCAGACCAAAACTTCGTAACTACTGACCAATATGTCTGTTGAGGGTCTCTACCAATTCTCCATGAAGATTATCCTTTTGTGTATATCGAATCGAAGACCTTAGGTGAGGCACAAGCAGTTGAACAAGCAGAATTCCGACAAGAATTCTCCTACATGGACCAAGTCGGAACCGCGTCATAGGTCATAGAAGTCTGTCAGGAGTATCATCTTCCCTTTGTCCTTACCTTTACCGACTACAGGAAACCGTTTGACAGAGTAGAAACGAATGCAATCCTACCAACTTTCTTCAGCCAAGTAGTGGACCCACTCTACATAAAAAATCTATTTGACTGTGATTGGAACTGGACCACGAAAATGCAGCTTTCCCATCGATGTCTTACCATACCTATAGAAGACGAAGTTCAACAAAGCAACACCGTCACGCCAAAGCTGTTTACTGCAGCACCGAAGTGAACGATGAAGTCACTTAATTGGAACGACAAGGATACACACATTGATCGAAAATCCTTGCCAAATTTTCGTTTGGCAGATGACATTGTCATGTTTTCCAGGAGTACCATTAAAGCAGAGACAATGTTCAATGACCCCAACGAATGAAAAAAAAAATGACTGGACTGCGCATAGGACGAAAACCCAATTCATGAAGAACCTATAGTGCGAACACGAACAAATCGAACCGTATGGTTTTCTGATTACAGCGACCACCTCGAATGTGTGCCTTGGAGGTTCGACGAACATGGAAAACAACATGGGATTGGGATGGGCAGAACTTTGAATAGATTAGGCAGAAGAAGGAGGGCACCACTGATCACATTCGGGTAACTCCCACCAACCAACTAACAGACCCAAAACTCTGCGCTCTCCTTTTTTCGTTTCTTATTTTTCGACTTATTTATTCAATGATTGATTTACCCAATTTTGAACTACTTATAACTTTTAACCTAGCCACAATTTTTGACCAAGAAGTATCGTTGACCTAGAAATAATATATGATCTACCAAATTCTCATCAAGTTATATCTTTTGATCTGCCCCTGACTTCTGGCCTGTTTTACAAGTTTTTGACCTAATTTTTTTTGCTGAGATATTTGCAAAACTCTGGACCGCAGGTGTTTATGGTGGGGAACGAATGCGCTGTTGTCCTTTCCGGGGAGTAACGCGTTCACCACCACACCATGCGGGTCCTTCGTTTCGCCTGTCTCTGCAAAATCGGCAATGCCGATTTGCGCTCCCCAGATCAACCCCGCTGACGGGTGATTGCTATGGCAAAAAGATCGATAGAAATAGCTGAGAGACAGGCGAAACGAAGGACCCGCATGGTGTGGTGGTGAACGCGTTACTCCCCGGAAAGGACAACAGCGGGTTCGTTCCCCACCATAGACACCTGCGGTCCAGAGTTTTGCAAATAACTCAGCAACGTTGTGGTTGTATTTCGCTTAGTAACCTGCCATGAAAATTATAGAAGGCAGAAAAGAAAACGTTAAACATTCTAATTTTTTTGATTTAGACGCAATGTACAGCTGCTTATAATTTTCGGCCCACCCACTTTTGATCTGCCTACGACCCTCGACCTAGATATAATTCCCGGTCTACTGTTTTTCTAATTTTTGATCCCCTTAATTTTTTCGTTCTAAACGTAATATCGACCTATTTGAATAATAAGGAACATAATTTTTGATTTACCCACTTTTGATCTACTTGTGACTCTCGGCCTATCTGTAATTTTTGACTTATTTTTTAATCTTTGACCTACCTATTTTTTTAATATAAACGTAATGCTGTCCTAATTATAATTTCTGATCTGCCCATTCAGTATACCTTTCCAGACTCTGAAGAAGACCGTACTGCCGAAACGTCAGCTACTGCTGTATTGTATTGTGTATTTTTCTATGGAATCAAAGCGATGAGAGAATCTCTTTGATTCTACGGTCCTCCCAGCGCTCTGTCATGCTGCAGAGACGTGGGTTGATACTTCAGCTACGTCAAAAATGCTTCGAACTACTCACAGAGCGTTTGAGCGATATCTTCTGAAATATAACCGGCACTCTCAATATGTAGCCGGAATGCGAAGCTCTGACCTTCGAAATCTGTCACATCTTCGAGATCCAGGAGAATATACATCGACAGCGAAACATAGATGGGCTGGTCACATTATGAGAAAACAGACGATAGATGGGCGAAAAGAACAGTAGAGTGGACTTCAAAAGAATGCAAACGTCCCCTAGGACGACCACCTACACGTTTGTGGGAACGTGTTCGTAAACAAACTTAATCAGCTCTACCCGCAGCTGCAGTTGTTTTACAGATCACGGTATGAGACTCGCAATCGCTACGATGCGAGAGAAAGGAACGAATGTCATATGTGCTGGGGTCCGCACAGCTCGTGAAAACGGACCGTCCAAGTATCCAAGTAAGTAAGTTTTCTATGGAAGTAAATGTATGCTGTACAACAACCTCGCGATTTCTGAACATGAGGATGACGCATCCAAATCCCGAGTTTAATAGAAAGTCGATCTTGGGAACTTACCGACATTCACAATGTCTAACCCGAATGCGAAGCTCAGGTATTGGAAATCTGCCCCATCATAAAGATAAAGGAGAATGGACATCAATAACGAATCACACAATGAGAAGAACAAAAGAAAGATGGACGAGAAGGGCAGTGGGATGGACTCAAACAGAATGCAAGCGTCTTCTTGGAAGACCACCTAAACGATGGGCGGACGTGTTCGCCTGCTTCTAGCGATAACCACCTGCACTAGCAGAGGTCGAGTATTTCAGGATTAGGGAATGGATCTCTCAGACGTCACCATGTTCGAAATAAACCAACACCATGTATGATGACAGCGCGCGAGAGAAACGAATGGAAATTTTGCTGGGACCCGCACAACCAGTGAAGATGGGCCATCTAAGTGTCTAAATATGTAATCCTCACTCATTATGCTTAACATTTTAATGAAACGACAGTGAACTTCGGCGATGATAGACGACGATAGCGATGTGTGAGCGAAACATTCAGATGAAAATAAATAGGTCAACTTTGTTGTAGTATCCTCCACAGGGCTTCCACAGTGGCGCAGTATTAGGAAGAGCCCTGCAGTACACATGGTATCGATTCCCGCGCCACTGGCTCACCTAGCCTAGCATCACTCCGTGGTCGACAAATTGGTGCATCTGTTTGGGAGAATAGCACCACTGGCACGACGCATCGGTAGACCACCGCGAGTCATTGTAAAGGCCAAATATGCATTCAATCACTTCCAACGATGCTTAATGAAGTCGAATGCATGGCGCGTCTTTAAGGGATAAACCAACTCCGAGAGGTTTATCCATTATCCTCTTATTACCTCCCACAAAGTGACTTCAGCGGTTGAGGACTTTTCTTTCAAGATGTCAGCTGCTGTGCCTGATTTTTGTAACCTAAACAAACCGCTACCAGTGACGCTCAGGTGCCCTCTTCAGCAGATCACATCAATGAAACCATCCAGTGGCGGCTTTGTGCAACAAGTGACTTTTCTGTGAAGCTTGTCGTAAGCTGAAAGGAAGCATGGAGTATTGGCAAGGTGGTCAATTGTTTTGAGTTCGTATGAGGGACGAAATAAATAACTAAAATGTGCAAGCCAATCATAAGAGTATGAAAGATAAAACGGATAAAACTTTTGGCGTTGATCAATCCCTTAGGGTGCGCCATGCATACGATTTCAGTAAGCATCGTTTAGAGGTGATTGAACGCATATCTGGCCTTTACAGTGGCTTGCGGTAGGCTACCGATGTATCTATCAAGTGCTGCTATCCTCCCAGATAGGTCTGGTACTAATTTTCAGAACCCGGAGGGATGAAGAATTTGGTGAGGCTGGGGCGCCGGGAATCGATCTCGTGGGTATTGCAGAGCGCCTCCGACCACTACGTCACATGCGCCCATATTAAGAGTATACTGTATACTATCGCATGTCTCTAACTAATTTAGTAATAATCTTTGAAAAATCTCACAATACGGAGATGTAATATACAATGCAAACCATCGACTATAACTGGTTTTGAAGTTGGAATAGACCGATCGCATCTTCACTCGTCAAGTATGTTGAGTTGTCCGCAATTGAATTTCTCTTACGGCTGCTTTCTCTCCATGGACCGCATTGTTAAACGTCCTGCTAAACATTAATTTCTCATTCGGGTGTTTAATGTATCTATTTGGCACTGTAGTATTTGATAGAGAGGTGTATGGACGTGTTTCGTTCTTCTCAGTACGACCGTTCTCGGTATAATTTGAGATTCGGTGGCCGCGTTTCGGTTTCGTTCGCAGCCAAATGTGCCAGTATTAACTACGATACATAGTTAAGACTACCAGAAGGAACGTCAGCGACAACGTCGAACGCTGGAAAAGAGCTGGATCCAAAACGCGACGGTCAGTGTGACGAAAAATCTGTTAGCCTTAATTCTGAATCCGGATCAATGTGACCCATCGTTTGATTTTATCTACAGTTTATGCAACTATTTATTACGATAGTTCTGAGTTTCTAATTATGGCAAATTACCACCATAAATTTTCGTCCTCATAGTCTGTTTCATCCTCCATAGCGTGATTTATTTCGGACTTTTTCATATAGATCGTGGCGCCAAATGAAGAACTTTATAGAAAACTATTGAGTAATACTGCTAGCATTACTGATGACTCGACACGGGAAGAACTGCACAGCGGCATCCGTGTATTCGTACCACGAACGACAACGAGACGCGAAAGTCAGTGGATATGGAACGCTTCATGCTCGACTGGGTGCGGATTCAATCAAAGGATTCGACTGCTGTTCCCTTACTCTTCAACCTTGCAAGTTAGTCAATAGTAATTTACCGCAGTCACTTTCCAGTGTTTGATTTATAACAGTTTTCTGTGGTCCTATTTCAATCACGAACGGGTGTAGTGCAGTGGTCGGAAGCGTCCTGCAATACATATGGGATCGATCCCAGCCCACCAGGCTCACCAAGCTTTCCACCCCTCTAGGGTCGGCACATTTGTACGACTTGCCTGGGAGGATACCAGCACTGGCTCGATATATCGGTAGGCCACCGCGAGTCATTACAAAGACCAGGTTTACATTCATTCACCTCCAAACGATGCTTAATGAAGTCGAGTGCATGGCTCATCCGTCGAGGTTTGATCAACGGCGAGAGGTTTATCCTTTTTTTTTAAATGTTAATCACTGAGATCTAGAGGTTCTTTCCAACACTTTAATCGCTGCTAGTTTCTGATATTCATATTAGTTATATTGTTCTCCTAGGGATCCCGTTATTACACCAAATGGATATCTTTTCGATCGTCGAGCGATCTTGGAATATATCTTGGCACAGAAAAAAGAGATTGCAAAACGAACAAAGCAATGGGAGAAACAAATGACGGTTAACAGTGAAGAATTAAAGAAGGTGTGTTTCATTGAAGGCGATAGTTGTTTTTTCATGTTTAGAGTCTTGGTTAATATGGGTCTCCGTAAAAGCTAAAAAGGATGAATCCTTGGGCATTGACTAACCCGTGAGGATGTGCGGTGCATTCGACTTCATGAAGCATGGTTTGGAGCACTGCTGAATGCATATCTGGCGTTTACAATGACTCGCGGTGGCCTGGTGGCCTACCGATGTGTAAAACCAGTGCTGTTGTGCTCCCAAACAAATGTATCAATTTTAACTTATTATTTACTGCCTACTCTTTTTAACGGCAGGGTATATATTGCGAAGTATAATTTCGTTATTGAAATGTGATATCAGTTTGTCGACCCCGGAAGGATAGAAAGCTTGATGGGTCAGGGGCGCGAGAATCGATCTCATGTGTGTTGCAGGGCGCCTCCGACCACTGCTCCACACGCGGCCTTGTGTTTTCATAGCCGACATGTTCTGAACAGGAGCTTATCACTCATATTAATCATTTTAGGCTCAACAATCCGATCGAGAACAAACTATACGCAAATTTGCTGAGGTTGCAGCTACCCCTGTACATTCGGGGCAGAAGACCAGTTTCGAAGAAACTTATGAAGGGAACTCCACTACAAATCCTTTGGTACTTTAATAGCCTTTATTTTGTGACAAATTTCTATGGTCTAGTTTCCCTTTAGAAACGTGCTGGAAGCGCAATCATAGTTCAACCTGCTCAAAAAGTGAGAGCGATTGGAAATGAAGGAGACATTTCGAATATGAGAGGAGAGAAGTCTGTTGTAAATCTTACGTTCTGTCTGGAATTGTTACAATTCCTTATTTCATAGGATTTATGAACGGCTGTTTTTGTTGTTTATATTCACGATCTATGCTTCTTCTAGTTGTGCTTTATCATCATTCTAAATCTTCTATGTTATTCTCATGTATTTTTATATCTATAAGTATGATATGGGACGTGTGTAGCGCAGTGGTCGGATGCGCTGTGCAATACACGAGTTTGATCCCCAGGTCCCGGGCCCACCAAGCCCTCCATCCCTCCGGGTTCGGCAAATTGGTACCGGACCTGTCTGGAAGGATAGCAGCACTGTCTCGATACATCGGTACGCAACCGCAAGTCATTGTAAAGGCCAGATATCCATTCAATCACCGCCAAACGATGCTTCATGAAGTCGAATGCATAGCGCATCCCTCAAGGACTGGTCGACGCCGGGAGCGTTTTTTATAAGGATGATGATTTGATTTGCGTCCTGTGAAGAATGACATGAGGAACTGAATTGTTTCCTGATTAACTAGAAACTGAGCATTAGTCCTACTTGTACTTGAACAGAGAGCTTTTGTTATGAAGCACGGAATATTCTATGTTTGTGGCGAGAATACAGCCACGAGTGGCTTGTCGTGCTACAGCATAACTTCGTCCTAGTTGAACTTCATCAAAGGTGTGTCGATCTTCATTCCACCATGAATGAATCTACTGCGAAATGAACTCGGTCTTGTACATCATATTTCTACACGTAGAGCGCTGCCTTGCTATGATAAGGTGGTACATCATTAAGGGGATCGTTAAGTACAATAAATTTGAATACATTAAGATCTCTTGAAGGCTTAATGCTTTTTGTTTCTCGCCAAACATAGTTGTGTAGCAGGAAATTGAAATAAATAATAAGCCAGTGGCACGAGGCTGGCCCACTGCTGTGGGATGACTCCTTTGTGCGGATTTTCTGCAAAGCCTGTGTTTCTGTAATACTTCATAAAAGCCAAGAAGCTTTCGGCATTGGTCAGTCGTTGGGGGATCTGGCGTACATTCGACTTCATTAAGCACCGTTGGAGGTTACTGAAGGCATATCTGGCGTTTACAATGACTCATGGTGGCCTACCAATGTGTCGAGCCAGTGCTGCTATCCTCCACGACAAGTATGGTACCATTTTTTCGACCCCAGATAGATGGTGGGCTTGGCGGACCGGGGATGCGAGAATCGATCCCGTGTGTGTCACAGGGCGCCTCCGACCACTGCGCTACACGCGTTCCTAATAATACTGATACTATTACTTCATATCAATTAAAATCTCGATCTTCGTTTATATCAATGCTTTTTTTTTCAAGAAGTAAGCAACTGCCAAGTTTTTGGATCCCTGAACTCAACCCTACTGCGGACGCAACAAAATTGGAGAAACCGGTGACTTTTTTACCAGTGCCTTTTTTTAGTTTTCTTGTTGCTTGCAAATTAGTTGAAATACTCCAACTTTTAGTCCCAGAAAGTTCTATGTCCTTTGTCCGGGAAGCCATTGAAGCTGAAGGATCTTATGGATGTTAAATTCACGCCAATTCCAAAAGATGATGATAAATCTCTGATTGTAGCGCAGGTTTGGCTGACAGTATTACGACGATTAAATCTAATGTGTCTTAAATACTTTGTTTAGACCCGTTATATGTGTGCAGTTACTCATGATGCTCTTACGAATGCCACAAGGTGTGCATATCTTAAAAAATCGTAAGTTTATCTTATCATTTCGCCATTGCTCGTGCGCTTTTCAATAAAATCTCTATCTGCTTGTTAAAGGAAGTGTATTGTTACTTGGGACGTAGTAGAAACGCTGATTAAGAAAGACTGGCTCGACCCTATCAACGGGGATGCCATGACTGAAGATGATATTGTTGAGCTTCAAAGAGGAGGTGAGTATCTTGAGAACCCTCCCACACAGGAGTCCATGAGCTAATTTATCACATTGCTAACTGTATGGTATGATACGCTAGTAGTAGATTTTTCGTACTAACTCTCACCTGATTTTCTGAGTTCGTTTAAAGGTTGAACGTTAGCACGTAGGACGGGGATAGGTAGATGAGTTTGGTTGTATTACAACTCAGAGAGAGAGAGACATCATTCCAGGAATTCTGTAATTCTCATTATGTGAAACCACATCTGGAAACTTATTGCATTAATACGCTTTTAGGAACGGGCTTCGCAGCTACGAATCAAGTAAAAGCGAAATTAATACGCCCACAACTAGAGCTTCAATGATCTTTTGCAAGAGTGCGAATAAATATGGTTCTTCTACTACTTTCGTTTTGTTGCAGTCTAACAATTCTCCTCGGTTCCTTCCAACATTTCCATTACAACCGCAATGATGCTGAGATATTTGAAAAACTTGGATCACAGGCCAAATCGAAACCAGATTACCGTTTCCGGTGCTCACTTGTTACGCACGGCAGCATTGAGGCCTTCGTTATGCGTTTCTCTCAACGAGTCTTTTTACGCTAACGGTGCCATCAGCACTCACCAGTCAACGGGAATGATCTGGGGAGCGCAAATCGCCATTGAACCCAGTTAAGCTGAGAGTGTAGTCGAAATCACAATGTAATTTCATCTGCTGCCCATTATTTTTTTTGGCACCATTAGGGTTAGGGTAAAAAGAGTGGCTTAGAGAAAAGCAGAGCGAGGGCCTCAGTGGAGCCGAGAGTAACACGTGAGCCCACGGAAAGGACAGTTGCAGTTCCACCTGGCTTGGCGTCCAAGTTTTGCAAGTATGTCAACATCATTCTGGTTGTGATTTCACGTAATACGTTGCCGTAAGAAAAAAATAATGGGCAGTAGATAAAAGTTGCACATTTCTACTGCATTCACACAGCCGCTGTATATAATGTTTTTTAAAACAAAATTTTGATTTCTTAAATCCAATATCTACCCCTGATATTGTGAATATCTTGGAAAATAATGTTCTTTCAGCAGTCACTGCAGGTTTTGAATGGTCGATATAGAATACTTTTCTTTGTAGAGTAATTGAGTAATGGTTGACCTAGTTTAGATAATCGAAATATCGTCCATTCGAGGAATTTGTCAGTGTTGGAGTCAAATGCATCTCTGATCTTTCTAATGTGTTCATAAGTAGAAGTATTTAAACCAACAGAGGAAAAAAATGTTTCGAATTGCGGTAAATGCCTGAAATATAATAGAAAAATAAGACTACTAGTGAATAGGTTATTTATCGTGTTCAATAGTATACGTATAGCCGTGCTGGAAACCACGGTTCTGACTGGTCTTATGATACATAGTATCTTCTCCAATCAATGTGGAAACGAGGTAGGGATACTTGAAGACATAAAGATTACTTTTTTTTTTATAGAAAGAGAGGAGCTGCGTATAGGTTGGAGCCACAGGCAAACGTTTTTGATGTCTATAATTGAGGAGTGGAATGCCAAAGTTTTTGGAAATGTAGCTGCCATTCCTAGATTCTTTATTGGACAGCTGATGTTTGAATCTTTTTTCTTTTGTCGTTTCACCAATTTCAAAGACGCAGTTTTTACGAGGTCGAAGGTGTTTCGTAATTAGAACGAAACTACGACATTCGACATTTCCGCCGTTGCAACGACTTGCGAGTGGTAGCCGATGTGTAAATCTGTGTCATTATCCCTGCAGAATAAGCTGAACCTCGAAAGGTAGAAGGTTTCCTGGTTTGCCTTGAATGCAAGATCGTACTGATAGATCACCGTATATGTATTTCAAGGCACCTTTAACCACTACTACAGGGGTTGCTTCTTGTATTCCAATTAATAAACTTTCGTTACTCATGCTGGTAATGGTTTGTTGGATTCTATTGTGTGCGTTTACTGTACCACAGTGGAGCGAGGCAAAATAGCCTATGTCGGACTGAGTTGGTCTTTGTGAGTTTGGAGTGCTGTCGTATAACGGAATGCTAAGATCGGAGTGAGTCAGATGGTGAGTAAACGCCCAGCAGACCATGCCAGACCCCTTAATCAGTTCACAAGGTGGCGTTTCTCCACTCTACAACTATAGTAGTACAACTGACGACGTGTCACTCATTATCTGAATATTAGCGGTTTTCACTGTTTCTGTTCTTCTTTCTGTTCAGCATGTCTAGAGCTATACCAGCTCAAACTGCACAATCTCTCTCATTTTTATTTCAAACATTTACCTTCTTAGAATTGTTTTCATTAGAATGATTGTGTTTCCGTTACAAACAATGCCATAAAGGAAGGGGTGAGAGAAGGAATCCAAAGTTCCAGCATACACCAAGGCGGCGAAATACGGCTGGACGGAGCGTGAGATAAGTCTTAGTGATAACGACTGGGCACAAGTCGCATTAGCATTAGCATCTGGTGGCAGTGGCTGTTTGGCGCGCTACAGTAAGACCGTTGGACCAAGTGGTTAGTTTTCTTCACGAAGATCCTGAACAAAAAAATTTGCGTCGCTTGGGAGAGCAAAACCAACTGACCCTGGAATCATTACGACAGTGGAGAATAAGGACTTTAGGAGCTTCTTCTCCAGTGAGTTGCGTTGTACGACTGTAAACAGTTCAGTACAGGTTCAGTATAAGAAGTTATTACGGGACGTGTAACTGTGCGCATAGAACTGTCATTTCCACACAAATATATTCCTGATCGTTATCAGATAAACCCGTAGTGCATTCATAGTTCGTCATTTGCTAGTACATCCATCAGTGAAAGGTAGAATACTAACTCGGTCGTCTACTGTTCCTCTTATAACGCTTTAATGTCCAAATTTATGGTTCACGGTCCAACACAGCTGAAAAGGTGGAACGCCGTTTTTTGTAAGGAAACTTAAGAAAAGCAATAGAGATGAGAACTATTAACTATGACAAAGATTTGATAACCATAGTTCTTTTCCAAAAAAAAGAACTACTAAGTACTGTCGCATCAGTATAAATAGATCTATCGTTTCGGTAATTCCAATGCAGCCTCGTGGATTCCTGAACAGTTCAGCTTCAGGACACTCGAACTACTGAATATCGGAATTGCTAGACATCTGAGTTCCAGCACACCGGAACTTTTGCGCTCCTAATGCCCTTCATCCCTGAACCTCCGAATGATCATTAATGTGATCAACGGACATATCGTACCGTACTTCGTATTCAAGCAGCATTTTCACTATACATGATTTAAGCATGACGATTTGTTCCGGCGATTCTTGGCAACAGCCAGATCCTTGTTCATATTCCAAAACTCGTATATATTTACTCCAGTATGACTGTTTCCAGTACGTCACCACATTCCTATCTCTATATTTTGTGATGACAGAATTTTCCATTTCTTTATACTCGGATGCTTACAACGATCACATCGATCTAACTGATGTCCGGTAGATTTTTTATTGACTTAAAGTCATTTTTCACCAATATTACTACTTTAGCCACAATTAAGTATCACCTATAAAACACGACTGAGAGAAAGCGAAACGGAGGACTCGCATGATGTGGTGGTGAATGCGTCAACCCCCGGGAGTGGTGATGGCGTGTTCGGTCCCCACCGTAGGCACAGCGGTCCGGAGTTTTGCAGATATCTCAGCATCATTGTAGTTATGTTCGCAAACTACTCTACCATGGAAAAAGAATAGGCAGTAAATAAAAAGTGGCCACATTACTATTTTATTTATGCGATCCATCATCACGTATCCTCCCAACGGTTTACGGCCCCATCTCGGCTGGGAGGTGTTCCTGGGTGTCGGACTGCGATTTACATCGGGGAATTCGTCCCTCCGGCAAGGTCTACCACGCTAAGAAGGAGTCCGGTGTTTCCATCAGGAAGCCTAGCTAAGAGTAAACCAATAGCAGGATCCACCACCGTCCTGGTATCAAAGTCGCATGGTGGTAAATCTCCCTCTGATCCACAAAGGCTGCGACTGCCCGTGGTGAAGACCTGGGGCAGACTTTGGCCAGGCTGACCTCAGGACTCCAGGGAACCATAACGGCTTAACCAGCAAATCTCCGAAAATGGAGATTATGCTGGGACCCGCACAACCAGTGAGGACGGGCCATTCAGGTATCAAGTAAGTAAGTATCGTCACGTATTATACAGATATTCAGACTTGGGTGCAAGTTCGGCAGCCAACGATCGTGTTAGAATTTTCTCACTGGGATATTTTTATTGATTTATGCTAGTCGAGACATTTTTCGTAGCAATCTTTGAGTTATTGAAAACATCGTCGTACTGCAACTAATACATACATCAGTTACTTGTCGATAACTCAAAAGATCAACTTTCTATAAGTCTCAGCAAAAATAATCAATATACTTATTTATATGTTCTTATGAACTAGTCCTGTTGAGCTGATCAACAACGACAACTATGCTTATCAATGCTTACTCGCCTAGTTCTTACCTAGTTCTTCTTATTTGAGTGATTCACCATCGCCTAAAGATCCCTATGGATTCCAGCACAGTCTTTCGTCTCTTTGGTTTTTGCTGATTAGTCAGACATGTTTTTCTTTTCCACTGGAAATCCAGTGATAGCAGTAAGTTCCAAAATCGCTGTCATCGCCTGACATCGCTAGCCGTCATGAATCGCTAGAAGGCGGGCAGCTTTCTGATTATTTACTCACACCATTTCTATTTTGTTGTTTATTCAGTACTTCTTGGCTGATACCTTTTCGTATTCATCGTTACATTGCACACCACAGTAGATGTCAATGCAAACAAGCATTCGATTTGCTAAGCTCACTAGCGAGTTTCCCTTGCTTTCCATCCTTGAAAAGTGATGTCCAAATATCCGAATATTCGAGTAGTCGAATAGTCGGTAGTTTCCGTATAATTCGAATGCGTCTTGAACTATATACACTTAGTGCAAGCTTTCAGCTTACCTGACATTTTTCATTGGAAAAATGACCATAGCCGAAAGGAAATTTTAGATCGCATCGCATTGCCCAGCAACCCATTTTCATCCTCTATGTACTTTTCTTCATTGTTTATTCTTCTCTACTTTCTTTCATGTAACGAAAATCATTTTTCCCTGACTTTTTTGTCAAATTCAGCTTGTTTTTTTTTCTCGTGTTCAAAATTCAATCCAGAAAAAAGGCAGAAAAGACATGTAATGCTGATTGAGCTGCGAGCTGCATTTCATCGTCACTTACTATTCAGTAGGACAGAGTGCTCCTTGTCCTACTTGCTGAGCTTCGCCTGCGATGAACATCATGGCTGATGAAGTTCCTCAACACTACGAATTGTTCTCGTTGGTTTCTGTACATCCTTGCTACGGAATGGAGTGATT